AAACAACAATGTTGATTTGGAGCTGGCTGTGGAGTTGGGAAGTTTTTTTGGGCGTCACCCTCCAAGAAAAAGGGAGAGAAGCGAAAAACCAGCCAAAAAAAAAGTCAAAAAACACCTTGAAATACCGGGAAAAAAAAAAAACAAACAGCAAATCATCAGCCAATCCACTTCTTCCTGCCCTTCTCCTCCTTCCTAAAGCCCTTTCCTCACCCTCCATCCCTAATCCGAGCTGGATGTGATCCCAACACAACCCCATGGACGGACTGGAGGGGAGGGAATGGCACAAGGAAGGAAATCAATCCAAGGACAGAGCCCTGAGCCTGAGGAATAAACCTCCCAGAGGTGTTTTCCAGCTTTTTTTTGGAGGGAAAAATCCCTTTTTATTTGGGAAAGAGAGGCTGTTTGAAACACTTGCTGTGACATTTGGCTCCCTAAATTTGAAATGCCTGACTCCCTTCCACTCCAGGACTCTGAAATAACTGGAAATATGCACCTGGAAAAGGGAATTTTGGATGGGTTGAGTGTCAGACCAAGCCTTTAGAGCTCAGGATTAACTCTCCTCCCTGCTGGAGGCTTTTCTGGGGATCCCAAGAGCCACTTGCTGTGCTTTAGTTCCCAGTGTGGAAAACCTGGATAAGGAGTTTTTATTAAACACCACCCCCCAAAAAGGGCAATATCTGGTTATTTATAGGGAAGAGCTTTGGGTGAAGGTGGAAGGATTAGGTAGGTAATTATGTGGTTTTTTTTTTGTTTTTTTTTTTTAATTAAAGTACAGGGAGTGCATCAAATTCAACGCCAAGGGCTGATTTTGGGAAGATTTCTGAAGATTCCAGGAGATCTCTGCTTCCTGAACCCAAAAGGCAGGAGGAAAACACTATATATTTTTAAATAAATCACTATTAAAAAAAAAAAACAACAACACCCTCTCTTTTTTAAAGGAAAGGTCTGGAACGAGCCCCAAAATCTGGAACTGGCTTTGGACTCTGCCAAAGTTCAGGAGGTTCACGGGGGTTCAGGAAGCAAAGCTCCGCTTTGGGGTTGACATCCTCCCTCTGCTTCTCAGAGGGGTGAAAGTTGGGACCTCTTGGAGATGCTGAATTGCTCCTTTTTCACCTCAACTGTCCTTTTTTTTTTCAGGGAGCTGAAATAAAAACAAACCCCCCAGGAGCGACGGCGTCTGCCCGGCCCTCCGAGATCAGAGCAGGGACCGTGTGGGGAGGGACCTCTGAAGGTCACCTGGTCCAACCCTCGACATTTGTGGCACCTGACACTTGGCTTTGGGGCTGTCAGGTGTCTTCTCCTCGTGCAGGATCCGAAGGGAAAGGCGGATCCACGAAGATGGATCAGGTCAACCCCTGAGTCCACAACCAGACACCTCTTTCTGCTGACATGTGGAGGAGGGTGGGGAGTGATGAGCAGAGGTGATGACAGCACCGAGTGTCCCATGGGACAGCCAAACAAGAGGTGGGATCGTGGAACTGTCCAAATTCCACTGGCCTGGCTCGGCTTTTACTGGTGAAAGCACTGGCTGGTGCTGAAGGGGCAAAGTGATGCCAGCGCTTTAAAGACAGAAGGAAAGAGAAAACAAGATCAGAGAGAGCTCCTCATTAATGTAACTCACAAGAAATCCCAACTAATAAATCCTGCTTTCCAGTGGAAGACACTTAAGGGAGGGATTTTTCCCCCCTGCGAATCTTTTCGTCTGGGCTTTGACTGCAGCGAAGGTGCAACCAGCACCCAAAACCTGTGGAAAACGAGCCCAAAGTGAAAGCTGGCCCGGAGAACTTCCCTCCACCTTAAAATTCCAAGTGCAGGGAAAAACTGGGAAGGAGGCAACGGGGTGGAAAAAACTCCCGCGGAGCTCAGCCGGCCGATGATGAGCGGAGATAAGATGGGAGCCCATCAGCTCAGCAAACACTGCCGATGAGCAGAGCCCAGACTGTCACTGCTGATAAAGGACAGGCTAAACACTCGATTAGTTTTTCATTTGGGGAATTAATGTGGTTTTTTTCTTTACACTCTCCCCCCCCCCCGCGGTTAATGAATTG